ATTTTCTAGGAAGTAAAAAACTGAATGCCTGGAACTATGCAGACACAGATCAAGTCTCATGCACGTCATTTAGGCAGACGGCTGAAATGCTGACATGACCTATCCAGCCAGAGCCTTCTCTTAAGAGTTCTCCAGTGCTGACAATTTCACCTGCCCTAGCAGCCTCTCTAAGCACTAAAAAGTGTAGCCATCTAAATCTTTACAACTCCGGTAAGAATCTCTTTAGAGATTACAGTATACCAGCAAGAGAATATGAATAGCACATATGGCTTTATTCCAAACAAAATCCCAGAATGTTTTCCTGCTCGAGGTTAAAATCAAAGATTTTTCACTCAGGATTAGCCTAGCTGTAGAACAGCGACTGTATAATAAAGATGAGTTCATAAGCCGTATGAGTTCAGTTATGGTCTGGAAAATTTGCTGCCATTTTGTGATGAAGTGTTTGGTCTTTCCTTGTAGAAACTTAGTGTCATTGTACATCAACTTAGAAAATGTGAATTTATTAAAAATATGCAATGGGTTATGCAGCATGCTTACATTTGAAAATGGAGATTGTGCCTTTAAATACTTAAAGGACTCCTGACCTTCAAATATCAGTTTGGGCATGTTACTGGAGATTCAGGTTGAAAGGTATTGAAAACAAAGTTCCATATTTATGTATAGTCAGTGGTCAACATGGAGAAGCCATCTTTTTAAAGAGATCAGTTCTGTAAAGCATAATGCCTACTACACAGACATCATTATTCTACTTATAAGTCTGTTTTTTAAATTCCAAATACCTGTGGTAGTAGAAAGCAATAAATATTCTAAAATGAGGGCTATTGGTCCTTTTGTGGCTGAGCTATATGATAAACCAAGGAAAACTACCAAAGTTATAACTCTTTAAGGTACACGATATAGCAGAGAATCATTCAGACAACTTCATAGAAAGTTGAGAGGATTAATCAAATTGTTTAAAACTTTTCAAGGAGCCAAATTTAAATTCTCAATACCCTATGAGATTTTTTGTAACTATTTTAGATTCTTGTCTGAAGAATGCATAGATGTAGTAAAAACCATTAAATACGGTAGTATCTTGTGGCATTTCTGTGTGGAGGAGCTCGTTTGTCCAAGGTATGATCTACCAGTGCTCTCACTAGTAGTGAGATCAGTGCCAAATCACAGCAAAAGCTAATCATTCTTAGTTTAATCCTGACCAGCTAGTCTTCCTCCAGGCATCAGCTATCTGATTTTAAAAGACCATTTTAGAAATGAATAGTAGTCTCTCATTTATCATATGTCAAATTCAAAGGTATAGCTGCTTGTGAAGACTGTATTATGTTTTATTTGCCTATCTCAGAAAGAGATCTGCCCGTCTTTAGGAAAAAGCAATGCTTTGTATAGCTTCAATTAGTCCTACATCAGGTTACTTTAATGTTTCCTACAGCAAAAACCAAGCACGTAATTCTCCAATCCTGAAAGTCACTAGAATATTGATATAAGAAATTCTGTGTCAGCGATATCACAAATATTTAAACCTCCGTTTAGGGTCCTGCATGTATTATCAAATTGGCCTCCAAACAGCAAGTGATAGAAAATTCAGGTGTTTTATTGGATTTCAGAATTGAGATTCAGAATTAAGTACTCTTGGGATAAAAGAAATTAACAAGCTTTTGACATTTCAAAGGAACTCTAATGAATAGATCAGGAAGTCATAAGTGAGAAAGAAAACAAGCATGTCTAGTGAAATCTATGTCCAGTGTATATAACACTGAGCAAAGAGCATATTTTATTTAGACTATTTGTATTCAGATGTACCCTAAAGACAACTATGCTATAATGCTTTTCTCCTACTTCCCGGCCTCTAGCCCTATCCATTGCCCAGGTGGACATTGTTTTTAGTTTTTTCTTTATGGGTGAGGGAAGGTGAGGACATCAGGTGAAGAGTGCCATTACTATTTAAAAACTAGCTCTGCAGGAAGGGTTAAATCGAGTCCTTTATAGGGTGACCTTTTTCCATCTCCTTAGGGCGATTGCATTTCAAAATAGGCCAAAGCTGAAGTCATAGGAAGACATTAATTGCAGGTTTTCAGGAACCAGCCTTTTGGAAAGCTTCGGGGACACAGCAGGTAGTCTTCCTAGAGCCTTTTAAAATACAACATGTCGGTCCTTCTCAGATTAGGCTGAGAGTCCAAATCCTTGTTAAAGGTTTTCCTGGAATCCTACCGTCTGGTTTGATCAGCTTAAGTACTGAATGACACAGAAGGATACACAGGAGGGACTTGTATCACATGAAGAAAAATAATATTTCCTTCATGAGAAACTTAATTCTAGGTTACTTAAGTAGCTGCCTTGTTGGGGGAGGGGAGGCATAGGTTTGCAAATAGTGGTGGGTTTTTTCAGGTTTTTTTTTTTTGTTTTTGAATATTTGAAAAGATGCTTCAAGCAATAATAAACTAGATGTGCAATAAATCTTGTCCAGTAGTAGTATGTGCTGGTTTCCGAAAGGGGAAAAGAGAATTGTTACATCAAGTTGCTTTTATGTATCAAGCTAAGTATGGGCATGCCTTTCCAAAGGACATAATTGACCCTACAGTTAATTTTAACATTTGGGCTGGAAGCTTAACCTCATCAGGAGTGGAATTATATTTTGCGGAGTTCCCCTTATCCAACCTACAGCATGCTTAACTATTTTCTCCCTGCATTTTCCACATCTCAGCCCCCTAGGACCAGCTACCGGCAAGTCATTTTGTCCATTTTCATTGATCTGGCTACATAAGGAACATCCTGTTTCTTTAAATCCTCAATGCTTAAATTGCCATGTAGAAACCAACTCCCTATCAATTTTCTACATTTAATCCTTGGCTTCTTGTTATATTTCCATTTTTCTGCACTCGTTCCCATGGCAACAAGTCTGTTAGCAGAGAAAGTATGACTCTGCTTTTAGCCTTCTGCACAAGACAATCCTTCTGGTGATCCTCAGGCAAGTATTATATAAAAAGTCAGGAACTGACTGCAGTTCCTTTGGCTAATGCCTCTAATCTGTTACTCTCTGGCATGCATTTTCCACCCTGTGCCCAAACCAGGCTTGAGGAAAAAAGTATTCAAGGGCCCTGCCCAGTATCTCCTTAAATACTGATACAAGTATTCAAAGGCCCTCTTATCCAATCACAGCTGCAGAGACTGAATATTTTGGTTCAGATGGCTTTCCCTTCTCCCTGTGTCAACGACTTAACTGACATAAATGAGTAATTAATGACAAGGACTACTGGGAACAGCATCAAGAAGCAACTTTCAGTCATTTTTCTATAAACACCCCAGGGAATAAGTATGTCTTGAATTGAGCCTTAAATCAGTATCTAATAAAGCAATGGAACATTGAAGCAGATTTTCTCCCAATGAGTAGTTAAGTGGCATATGAGGAGAGGCCAAGGTGTCACCCCACAGTTCTGAGCTCATAAAGAGGAAGAGATAACAAAGATGTAGATATGAAAAGAGGACACTGTAACTGGTGGCTACATGTGAGCAAGGGAGCTTATTCAGTTGGGACAATTCAGGGTTCAAGTACAAAAATGGTATGAAACCTACTGAAGAATAAGAAAATGGAGCATGGAGAAAGAAACGGTTTTTAAGAGTAAACAGTAGAAAGGGAGCCTGCAAATGAGAGAATAGCTTCATGCAGACTTTGGCCCAACTCTGTCTACAAATTTGTTCAAGTAATGTTTCTCTTAATAACAGATGATGTATTTTGTTTTAAACTTTGGAATTCCATTGTGGCTTGGCACTAAACTAAGCCTAGCAATCCTCAATCTCCTATGTCCTCAATATCTAGAAACAAGCAGGAACTGTTTGTCAGAAATTAAACAGGACTTATCTGATTGTGCTTTAAAAAAAAAAATGAATTCAGGGGAATGACAATATATGTTAGAAATAAAAATGTGGTTATCTCAGCTATAGATAAGAAAATTATCAAATGTAAATGATCCCTTTTTTGCTGATCTTATAAAATATGTGATACTTAAATACATTGAAGTTTTAAAGTTAGCTGCTTATATTGTACAAAGATATTTTTGGCTCTTTAAAGGTTATTTTCCTATATTAAGAAAAGCTTTCTTATATTAAAAACTTTATTGTGACTCAGGTTTTGTGTCTATATATAGACACACATACACAGGAGGTGTTTTTCTTTGCACATTTGTTTTGCACAGCTAAAATAATGAAGTTAAATAATGCCCAGGTATGGTCCATTGACCTTTATAATAGCTAGCTTAAAGAAAGCATTTGACAAATGGACAAAAGAAATCACATTGTATTTCTTTGTATCTCTCTATTCCTCTTAACCTTCCCCAACCCTCTACTAAAGACTATGTCTTATTTAGTGAGGAAATCTTATGTAATTTTTTGGAAAGTCCATAGGAAAAGCAAGATGCAACTCTCAGGCAAACAGAACATAAAGCAGTTCCCATATCTGCTAGAAAGGTCATTAATTTTCAGAATATACTGTTGAAATAATTTTTATTTTCAATACCTATAGAGTCTTTATACTCAGAGGACTCTTACTGGTCTTGAATGTGGAAAAGACATCTGGTTCAGGTCAGTAAGGACTGTTGTATGCTAAGTTTTACTCCAGGAAATTTGGTTTTAGCTTTGATGACATCTAGCGTCAGTGGAATGCAATGAATGCTTAATATTGCTGCTTTATGTTTGGGTATTTCTCTTTAACATCCTCAAGTACGCTTTCATCTTTGAAAATGCAAACCTATTTTCTGTTTGAAATGAAGAGAAAGGTAATTGATAGATAAACCAGATGATAGTTTTTGTTTGAAGAGCCAATCAAGTGGCTCTTTGTACTCAGTAGGGACTAAAGGAAGCCTAAGGATAATGACACTGTCTTCATATGAAGGAGAAATTTTTTACTAGTGGGAAATTAGAAGTAAATCTACCAAATTCTATTTGTAAATTTTAAAGACCACCACAAAAGACCTTGAAAAAAATAAAATTACTGCAAGATTACTGTTGGCTATTGAAAGTACTACAGTTTTATTTTTCCACTTTATAACCACCCAAGGGCACCCCAACCAGCTGTATATAAGAAAACCATAATATGAACTAGGCTCTTTCTATTCAAAAAAGAAATATTAACCTAACATGAACAATTCTGAAGGAAGACAGTGGTAGGTTTTCAAATGGTTTGTTAAGAATTATATGTAAACAGATACTAGATACTATGTTTTGGATTTTTAAGTATGAAAATTGTTTTGTCCTAAACTATTTGCTAATTGATTACTTTCGACCTCAGTTATTGTGGGGCATTATCCTTTTATTACTCTATTAAGAAGTTCTAATTCTACCTATATGAATTAGTATCTTCTCATATGCCAAACGAACACACATAAATTTTCCTTTTCTCATTTCAGGAAATATTTCACTCTTCTGTAAGTTTAAGAAAAATTTCTAAGCAGTGATACAACTTTGGGTCACTATTTTAGTAAAATGAAGACAGTCTCTAGACTCATTTTTTTTAAATATCTGACTTCACTACCATATGTGCAGCACAACAGTGACATCTTAAGGCCAAGTAACCAGCGCTCCTTTAGCCAGAGAAAGAACTTGAATTGGGATCTGATTTCAAAGAAATCCCATTATGTTATCAAGTCGTTTTCAAATTTACAATATTCAACTGGTAGAGAAAGTGCTTCTTTATGACTTATTTTGCAGTCTTTGTGAACTTTTTAATGTGCATTAGTAAACATTGACATTTTACATAGACATACTGTATATTAATGCATGCATTTCACTGCATAGTTTATTGACACTCCCCTTGTAAAGCTTTTATGGAAGAACCAATAAGCCACAGCAGTATAGCAAAAGAGGCTTAATCTTTATAAATTGGGGCCTTTTCTGTCTCTTTGCTAGCTTAGGTGGCTGTAAACAAATTCGGGTGGGGGGGGCAGGAAACACCTCTTAACATTTAAGGTTTTCTACTTGGGTGTACTCTAGCCAATTCAAAACAAATTGCTTACTTTAATAATACAATTTTACCATTTTATAAAAAAATTAAATCACAACATGTTTAACTGAAATGGCTGTATTGTAATTAATATTTTGAGATAATTGTGATTTTGAGCTTAAATTATATATACAAAATTGTCATTTTTGTATGTGTTAAAAAGACTACTATATCACAATTAAAAGTACTTTTTAGTTGAACTACATATTGATGTAAATAAAACTGAATGAAAACATATTTACTACTTTAACATAGATTGTGAATGTACTTACTGGTTTTTTTGCAGTATGAAACCATAACAACCTTGAAAGCTGCTTCATTTTATGTGCAAAGAAGTCCTATGAATCTATATTTTAAATTTACTGATCCAGTGAAATTAATTACTTTGTCAGTTAATTTGCAAATGCAAGCTGTATTCTCCAGTTTTATGTATTGACACTAATTGGTAAAGGTGTACAATGTGATTAGAATGCATTTTGAAGATGCTTTCTGTACAGATACAAAATACAGGGACTAAAATAATGCTGTGCAGTGTATAGCAGAGCCATTTTTCGGCTTTGGTGTACTCAACTTTTTCAGTATTTAAAAAAGTGTTTTGAATAACATAAAAGTCTCCTTATTGTATAAATAATAAAATGTCACCTTATTGTAAAGTGTCTTTTGTTTACTATCAAAGCAGACTTCGTAGTCAGCAAAAAGAGTTGTAATAAGAAAAAGGCATGTTTTTGTTTTTTATTTTTTTGAGACAGAGTTTCACTGTTGCCCAAGGCTGGAGAACAGTGGCACGCTCTTGGTACTCTGTCAGTCAACTTCTGCCTCCTGGGTTCAAGTGATTCTCCTACCTCAGCCTCCCGAGAAGCTGGGATTAGAGGCAGGTGTCACCATTCCTGGCTAGTTTTTTTTTTCTTTTCTTTTTTTCTTTGATTTTTAGTAGAGATGGGGGTTTCACTATGTTGGCCAGGCTGGCCTTGAACTCCTGACCTCAAGTGATCTGCCTGCCTTAGCCTCCCAAAGTGCTGGGATTTACAGGCATGAGCCACTGTGCCCAGCCAAAAAGGCATGTTTTTAAAAACATAAACATAAACATTGTAATCAATATTTGAAAAATGTAACTTTTATTCTGAACATGTATTTATCTTTATTAACAATTTTTTTTTATAATACAAGCATGCCTCCATCATCCAAAAGCTATCTAGCTACCTGTCTATCTATATAAATTGATATACATGCTATTGAAGGAACTTCTTAATAGAATCATATGGCGTTATAATGACTAATCAACCTACTTCTGATAATTTTGGTATAAACAAAAATGTTTATATTTAATTTTTATTAAATCAAGTTTACCTGTATCAAATTCCCTTTTAGAAAAATACTGCAAGTTTAGTCTTACCAAGATTGCAAGTAAATTTTAAAATTATGAAATATTTTTAGGTTTTTAAGTTGAAATAGGTTTTTAAGTTGAAATGTGTACTAAGATTAGCCACATTGCAAAAGTCCTATCCTGGGTAATGAGAAGTCTTATTTTTAGTATATTTTTCTTTTCTTTTTCTTTTGACATGTGGCCCAAGATAAGAAGGTCTTATTTTTTAAATGTCAAAGTACAGTATTCAACAAAATTCGATTCAATATTATATCTGATAGAAAGGTAGATATTGGCTAGTTATATTCAAGTCAATTGGTCACATTGTATGGAATACAAAAAGAAATGAGAAAAAAACACAGTTCTACGAAAATGCTTTGCTATTACAATACTAAACCACATTAGATAAAAATTCACTTTTGAAGAAACTGCTTGCTATAAGAAAATGAAAGTTAGTAGGATAAATCCCATGCAAAACATTTAGAACAAATGTATGAACACATTGTGGTTATAACCATTACAAATGTACATAACACCTTACAAAAATATTAAATAAAAATGTAAAAATATTTACTGGCAGTGAATGTGGCCCAGGCTAATTATACCAATGGGTAGGTAATACTGGGAAACTACCAAGATCAATTATAGCAATCATCTTTTACGATGATACTAAAACAAATGTTATATCCTCCTTAGAATTAACCAGGGTTAATAGAACATGACAAAGGTTATAAAACAACTCCATGTTAAGTAGGAATTCGGTCTCTCAAATATTCAAGTATAGCAGCTGTTCCTTTCATTAATATGGCTGCTCGAGGAACTCGGAATGGATTTCCATCCAGTAGTAATGTTCTAAACAAAAGAGAGAAATTGAGAATGTAAACATTTTCCATTAACAAGGTTTTTCTTCTAATTTCATAATTTCATTTGTAATTTTATAAATAAAATTTGTGTATTCTTTTTCTATTTGCCCCTTTTTATTTCTTTTTTTGAGACAGAGTCTTGCTCTATTGCCTCGTCTGAAGTGCAGGGGTGCAATCTCAGCTCACTGCAACCTCTGCCTCTCAGGTTCAAGTGATTCTCCTGCCTCAGCCTCCCGAGTAGCTTGGATTACAGGCACCAGCCACCACACCCAGCTAATTTTTGTATTTTCAGTAGTGACCATATTTCGCCATGTTGGCCAGGCTGGTCTCAAACTTCTAGCCTCAAGTAATCCACCCACCTCAGCCTCCCAAAGTTCTGGGATTACAGGAGTGAACCGCCATCCCTGGGCTATTTGTCCCTTTTCAAATCTGAGCATTTAAACACTAGAATTATACTAATTAACAACCCAAAACACATTAATTGAATACTTGTTTTGTGAAAGGCACTGAGACAGGTAATTTATATTCACTAACTCTTAACAATCCTATGATGCAAGTACCATTAATAGTTCTATTTTAATAGATGAGAAAACACAAATTTAGAGAGGTAAGAAATACTAAGTATCAAATAGCTACTAAATGGTGGAGTTGTGATTTGAACCACCCTTTTATCCAGCCTTCGCAATGTTATTAAATGACTACATACTAAATGGTCAAGTAAGATTTAAACAAATATCAGCATGAGTCATCCAAGCCAAGGACTATAATGTAATCAATGTATCACCACCACTGCCCCACCCCCTTCTTCCCAAAAACATTAACACATTCCTGTCCTCTCCCTCCTTTGAGCACATATACATATATAAATCTATTTACATGTTCTGAGAGTTTAACTTAAGATTTAAGAGCTTGTTGTTTCATTAGATAATAAAATGTCTTCAACTGAAAAGCTTTTGTATTAATTTTTAACAGTTAAGTGTTTATGTAAACAAAAATCAAAGGACTCACAACCATATTGTTGATCTAAATTATATCTTCAAATATTTGTTTCTTGGAAATTCTTTTAAAGATTTATTCTCTTAATTTCTAGAAAAAAAGTTGACTACAGTTGATCCTCATTATTTGTGGGTGCTATATTTGCAAACGTGCCCACTCACTAAGTTTGTAACCCCCAAATCAATATGTGTGGCACTTCCGAGGTCATTCGTAAACATGCACAGAGGAGCAAAAGATTGGAGTCATCCCACGGGCATGTTCCTAGCTAAGGATGAACAAGGTGACACTTTGCCTTCTTGTTTCAGCTCTTCTACTATAAACGGGTCCTTTTGGTGGTTCATTTGGTGTTACATTTTTCAAATTTTCATACCTTTGTCGGTTATTTCACAATGTTAAATGGTCACCAAGTGTAATGCCAAAGTACTGTCTAGTCCTCCTAAGGACAAATGTGAATTATGAAAAAATATACATGTGTCAAGTAAGCTTTGTTCAGGTATGACTTATAGTGCTGTTGGCCATGACTTCAATGTTAACAACACAATAATAATATTAAGTGAAGTGTCTTACTACAGAAACACACATATTACAAAGTTTTGTATTGAATGGTTGCTGAAAACGTTGGGACTAGACTCTTGAAAGAACCTAACCCTATATTTCCCCTAGGAGCGATAGATCTGTATTCACGAATTCAGTGTTCAGAGTGTCTACAGAACATAACTGCCACAAATAATAAGAATCAACTGTACTTGTCTCCTATAATTTACTAATATGAGGTACTAGAGCAGATACCAGTGTTGCCCCAGTGAAGTAAAATATAGTAAATCATTAATATGCAGTTTTCAGCAACTAAATTACTTCTGACATATCCTACTTAAGCTCTTGGCTTTCTGTTGATTTCTCAAACTCCCTTTATATTCACTTAATAAGCACTTACTGGGTGTTTACTATGTTTTAGGCACAGGGACAACTCTTTTCCAAAGAAAAACCCAAAAATTGTATAAATAAGTCCAAATGAAGCATGATGGGAAAACAGGGTAGGGACTAATTCTGGTTGGAGTGCAGGGAATGCTTTCAAAGGTGACATTCATTGGTCAATTATGACGAAAACAGGGTAAAAGTACCTGATGCTGAGGGAAAGCAGATGTAAGGAGTGAGGAAGACTATGCTGGGCTTGAAATAGGATAGTGGCACTCTGCAATCAATTTCAAAAAATCCCGTATTCAAAGCTAAGGAGTTAATATTTCCCTGACATTTTTACACAGTAGTTTCAGGTTATAAACACAGTGATAAGCAAAGTGCCACTAGAAACAATTAGTTATTATATTTACACATATATTATACCATATAAGCAAAACTAAAAATATATATTTGGTAAAATTTGAAAAACAGAATTGGGACTCTGAGTTTTGTTACCTGTTATTTTTAACAAAATGTTAAATCTGTTACTTTAACTTCCTGCAAATTTATCTCAAAAGAAAACCAAATCACTTCAACAAATCAGTCAAATAAATGAAACAATGAAGTAGAATGGTGCAGTTACCTTAAGTTCACACAATTACCAAGCTCTGGTGGAATTTGTAAGAGGTCATTATTTTGAAGGTCCAGTGTGGTAAGATTTTCCATCATCTTCATTTTCTGAGGGTCCACAGAACCAACCTGATTATTACTAATCAGAATTGTTTCAAGTGTGAAGATACGATATAGAACTTCAGGTAGCATTTTAAACCTATTAATACATGAACAGAACACCTAAATATACTGGAATCAGACATCAAAAATCATTCCTAAAACAGATGATCTCAAATTTGACATGACGATTTTTTCATTAGTGTGTGTTATTCTGTAATTGGCATAAGTCCTGTATTTGAATTTTATAAAAAATAAAGAAAAAGCGCTAATTTTGAAAACCTTGAAATACATGTTAAGCAGACAGACTTGTAACAGTTACTATTTGTTGTATAAAATCAGCAAAAGTTCAGAGTAAATTCTCCCGTTTTTCTGTTCACATTCAAGAGAAGAGGAAATCTGCTCTGGAAATTCTCCCTATAATGTATCCATGTAGGTATTCTTCCATTCACGTTTACTTCTTATGAAACATAATCACTCATATATTAAAATTTAAGATTTATAGTTTGCTTTGACTGAGGCTTCCAAAATGAGTACACGTTGGGTTCTTAAAAAGACAACAAACTAGCATAGACTGCTGGCTTTCTTGTCCAAGCAACCCTGAAGATGCCACAAGATATAAGAAGGTGAATATCGATCAAAGCAATACTTGGAATTAACACAAAATGGTGAGGAACCCTTAGGGGACAAAGGCTAGCATAGTTTTAGCATGAGGTAAACCTGAGCCTTCACTAGAAAATACAAGAATGGGCAGAAGGAAAGCTTTAGAAGCTTTCTAAAAAGGTTTAGAAGCCTTTCACTTCCCTATACCACCCCATTCCTTTGCTGCCTTGATGCAAAAAAAGCAATAGTGAAGTATGAACTTCAGGCAGTGCTGAAGTTCCGGTGAGACTAGAGAAGCAATAGCCAAGAGTACAGATGGACCAAATGATCCCTTTAGTAGGTTCTTCTCTTCCCACCTTGCAACCCATGAACAAGATAATTACCTGATAACACAGAAGTTTAGGCTAGCTTTTGGCACCTCCCCAAAGACGTTACTTGCATGTAACCGATGGTTCATTGACAAACACAATATAAAACTGACAGCTCAATTCACAAGTAAAAATAGGGAGAGATCTGAGAAGCGCACATATTTTTAAATAATGACAATAACGGTGCAATCTGTATACTAGAAAGCACAAGTAATGGAGCAGACAGAAGAAAAATTAAAATAGCAATATTTTAACATCACTATGCATTCGCTTCCTCATCTATAAATGAGGAATAATAATAGTACTAAACTTATACACTGGTTATAAGGATTAAATGAATATATTTGAAGACTTTAAAACATTATCTGGGTTACATTAAATGTTACTATTAATATTTTATTTTTAAATTTTATTTATTTTTTGAGACAGAGTCTTGCTCTGTTGCCCAGGCTGGAGTGCAGTGACGCATCTCGGCTCACTGCAACCTCCACCTCCTGGGGTTCAAGTGATTCTCATGCCTCGGCTTCCCAAGTAGCCTGAATTACAGGCCACCACCACACCCAGCTAATTTTTATATTTTTAGTAGAGATGGAGTTTCACCATGTTGGTCAGGCTGGTCTCAAACTCCTGAGCTCAGGTGATCCACCCCCCTCAGCCTCTCAAAGTGCTGGGATTACAGGTGTGAGCCACTGTACCTGGCCAACTATTAATATTTTAATTAAATTGTTTCTAGAATCCATTTTCATCATAAGAAACAATGTGACACAGTTGTTAAGAGCCCAACTTCTGGAGTCAAACCACCAGGACTCAAATCTCAGATGTATAATTCACTATTTTTGCATACCTTAGATGAGCTGTTTAGCTTCTAAATCCTTGTTTTTTTAAAGGAACACAGTAACAGAACCTAGTATGTAGGTTCTTTTATGCAGGAAATATTACATGTACTTAGTACACCAGCAGAATAATAAGCTCCCAAGAAATATTAGTTAGTCTTAATTATCTGCAGTGTCTTGATAGTGTTTGCAAAATAAAATCTAAGTTTCGTTTAATGTAAAAAGCTCCAGGGCTGGTACTGCTTACTTGCCAAACTTTATCTGTTATTTCTACTCCTCTTGCTTTATTGTCCAAAGCACATTGAACTTCTTGAAGTTTCCCAAACACCCCATATGTTCTCACCTCTCTGTGCCTTGGCATATGCTATTTGCTCTAACTAGAATATTCTCTACCCGAGTGCCTGACAAATGTCTATTTTTCAAACCTCAGTTTCAATGCTATCTCCTCTACCTTGAAGTAAACTCAGAAGACACATTTTCCTCTGCACTGTGCTTCCATTACAGCAATTGTAATTATTTATCTGCACATCTGTCCTCCTACAGGTTTTTCAAAATGGTAAAAAGGAACAAAAAATATGTTAGACATCAACTATGAGAATTCTAAGAAGATGATAATATTTTTAATTCTAAGAACTAAGTGAAAATAAAATCTGCGTATTGAAATAAAGTAAAAGGGGACTTTTTGTTATTTGGCTTTTAGTTGTTTTTCCAATTAGAGAGATCTATGTATTTCTACAGAATAACAATTAAAATTGTCTGTTCTGTCTCTTACCTATTAAAGGAAAGATTGATCGTTTGTAGTCTTACCAGTAATTCCATTTCTTCTGGCAAAGAATTTAAAAAATTATTCCTAAATTGGAAATCAAAACAGATGATTTACAAAGTTTGAAAAATTTTAAAGTTTAATTTATAATTAAAATGTTGAGCAGAAAAATAAATATGTAGATCAGTTTGTCAATCCTTGATATCTGGTCTTATTAAGACTAAGTTCTGAGAATTCTGAATCAGTCACTTACCACAATTATTCAGTTAGTGTGCCAAATCTTAATACCAATATGCAATCAATTGATAATGCAATGAGTTCTTTATACGTTTAATAGTGATTACAGGGTAAACACTGTAAACTAATTAACTCCTTCCAAGTGGGTTCTGTAATACTTCCCCAATGTCTACAATGCCACATAAAATAAACATTGTATTGGTGTTAATACATATGACACAGACATGAAATTCTACCCTAAGAAGAATTTTTAAATAATTTTAAAAATGAACCAGGAATTTAAAGAGATTCTGTCTATTCAGAGATTTGGAGTTTCCTACTCCATAGGTATTAAGCAAATCTATTCCTACTCTTAAGTTTAGAATTTAAATTTACAGAATGACTATTTTTTTTTTTTAGCTCTTACAATTAAACATGGCAGTAAACAAAATCTCATTTACTGTTGGAAGAACCTGGGAGCAATGTTAGAAGAAAAGTTAACAAAAAGGTAAAAGGATTTTAGAAGCTGTATAACTACTAGTAATGAAATACTTGTGAGAAAATTATTCCCAACTAGATGACCACCTATTACAAATACTTTTCTCTAACCTATTTCTTTGTGTACAGAAGTCAAGCCTAATATGTAAAAGTCATACTTTCTACAGTACGATCTATATTTTTTTCTTTGTACTTTTCTCCAGTTATTGTCTGCATTAAGTTGTGCTGAATAACCAGAAAAGAAACAACATAAAGAAAATACTTTCCATGTGTTGTCTGTAATTTTGCTTAGAATAGGTTAATATTTTCAATAATTTTGTCTTATCACATAACTGGTTAATTGCTTACCAATGAAAAATATCTGATTACAAGATTTTTCCTAAATTCTTTTTTGGGTTTCCTAAATACTATGTTAGCATTCTCTTAAACTATTGTCAATAAATAAAGATCAGTTTCCATATGTACCTAGGAAAATATGCGGTAAAAGGAATAAGTTAGGCAAAACTCAAAGACAAGTTATAATTTTTTAAAAAATCAAGCAGTAGTATCAATAAATACCTGAGATCTAAAAAAGACAATTTTTGAAGCATACATAACTCCAAGGATATTGAGGAAAGCTTATTAAAACTGAGATTGACATCAGAAACCATTTCCTTCAGTTCTACCATCCTGAAACAAAAATAATATTAAAATGTTAGCCTTGAATTCACTGTCAGAGCTTCAAAACTGTAAGCAGATCAAAGGAGAAAAATTCCTACATTTAACTTCTGCTAATTATGATTTTTTTGCACCTTTTACTTTCTCACAGAAACCTTAAGAGTTGGGATATGTAACTAATAAAAATATTATTTTTTACAAAAACGGCTCACTCTTATCTGTCCAAAAGTTCCTATTTGGCTTTAGATGTATATTAAATTCTCACTAAAAAGCCTATTTATTTTGTATTTAAACCATCTATGGCACAAAGGAGAAAAATCAAATCTAGAAAAATTTTATACTTTATTCTGTTAATAACTTGAATCCATAAAATAAATTGTTAGACAGACATCCTGTAACATAGGAGTTATCTACTACATCAGCAGTGTATGTATCACCACTAAGGTGCTTTAGTTTAAAACTTACAGAGGAAGAATTAAACATTTCTAAGTAAGCCCAATCAAGGTTTATAGTTTTAATCCTGTTATTAATATGATTTGCTAACAAATGAAAGTTGGCTGGGCGTGGTGGCTCACACCTATAATCCCAGCACTTTGGGAGGCTGAGGCAGGTGGATCACCTGAGGTCAGGAGTTGAACACCAGCCTGGCCAACATGGTGAAATTCCATCTCTACTAAAAACACAAAAAAGTAGTTGGGGATGGTGGTGGCCACCTATAATCCCAGCTACTTGGGAGGCTGACGCAAGAGAATTGCTTGAACCTGGGAAGCAGAGGTTGCAGTGACCTGATATCACGCCACCACACTCCAGCCTGGGCAACAAGAGCAAAACTCTGTCTCAAAAAAATAAAAAAGAAAACCAAATGAAAATTAAACTGCAACTTAGTCTATCACATTAGCAAAGAAAAAAAAAAGAATATAAACTGCAGTACTGAAAAAGATGTAGTGAAAGAAAACGAGTTTCAATGTGTAACTGATAAATTTTTTTTTTTATATATCCAGAGTCAAACTCTGACTTAGTAATTTTTCTGGAAATCTGGCCTAGAGAAACAATGTTTCCTTTATTGTCATAATCAACTGTACAGTATATAGTTAAATTAATTTTTAAAGTATTGCTTACAAACAGAGAAATACTTTCTTTTTTTTTTTTTT